CATAGAAGAGAACCATGCTTGTTTGTTTTTGAGAATGTTTTAGACGTTAAAGAACTATTTTATGCCAATGTATATAATAAATTATCATCATCAGAGTCTGTCTCTGTATCGCTTTCATCCGATATGTCTGAGTAGTCAGCAGCATCAGTCAAAGAATTTAAGAACGATGATGATTCTTGTTTCAGTTGTTCGGGATGGTGACGCGCGAAAGATAGATACCATATAATTGAAGCACAATGTGCACAACAGCCAACTACTCTGGCACCAGCTCGACACGTACAGTACCAACCAAAAATTGTGCTCGCTGAATATCTAATCCACACATCATAATACACAGAGTTTTTATGTCTCGATTGCATCTTAGCCTTGATAATATCAGCTCGATTCTTTGCTACTTTAACGACGTATTTTCCATCAGCTGACAGATGCTCTACAGTGTATGATTTTGCTTGTTTAAGCTGATAAATTCCTGCAAAAGAGAAGAGGGCTTTCACAAAAAGGTATATCAATAATGAATTAACTCACCAAGTGTTAAATCATTTAATTCTTCAAATGTCAACCTTGGGAAGTCTGGTACCGTATCATTTGCATTCAATTCTTTCCATTGTAGTAGTTTTTCACTCTTATTTTTCAGTTTGGCTACGTAGTTACCTAGTTCGTTGGTTTCATCACGTAGTTTTAACATTTTCTTAGCTAGTTCTTTATCTTTCGATATAGACTGAATAAACGGTGCACCATAACAATTCTGCAAGGCACACACAATTGCTATTAGATCACCTGCTGTTTTCAGAAGAGAATTAGGTAAAACTTTGTCGAAAATTCGCCACTGTTTAATACGTCCATTTGCGCTTTCAATTACCCATCTAACTTTTGTTACAAATCGAGTTTGATTAGCAGTCTCAGCTGTAAACTGTTTTTCCCCTTTAGCTAAAAACGATGGCATATATGTTTGATAGCCCATCAAATGTAGATAATCTAATGCGTCGCGAAATCCACGATCGACAACTAGTATATCGCCTTTTTCCAGCCACTGTCCGATATTTTCTTTGTTTTTATATATAATATGCTTCGTTATCTCAGCATCATTATTTTTATAGTCAGCAAAGTACGGTCCCATACATGACACAATGTAGCCTGTCGTTGTAGTAATTAACATTGGCTTAATCAAAGATTTTCCTTTGTGCATACTATATGTTCGTCTTTGCAATACGTTATTGGCACTCTTTTGAAAATAGATATATGTGCCATCCAGTATTAATATAGCACGATCAGGTTGATCAGCTAATAATTCAGATGCTAATGGACGTGTGTGCCGATCGATTACATCTCTCCGTTTTATATGTTCGAATCCAAGAAAATGTGGCACAAAGTATTCAACAAGAGCTTTACGTGCACTATGAACCACACGAGACACAGTACGTTTGTCTTTAAATGAAAATAGAGTTGCTAAAACTTGATGACTAATTCCCAACCTTAGCTTCATTAATAAGCAAGCGATTGCAGTTCGTGCTGATCGATTCGGAGTGTTTCTCAATGCGGAAGACGGAATGCGTGAGCAGAGATTATCGAAGTTCGCACGACTTAGGCCTGTAAGAACATAATAATTATCAGACGTGATTCGTGTTAAATCATCGAAGTTCAATAATGGAGCGTTTCTGAAGTCTTCTATTGTCGAGACTTTTAGTAGAAATGCATTTTTTATGATAACCAACATGTCTATAAACTCTTCCATAGTAAGATAACACTTGTTTTCTTCCTTCCGAATGCGTTGTAAAGCCCCAGCATTCAAATAACCAGCACTAATATGTTTTTCACAGCATCGCGAACCAAATGAAATTAAAATATCGTCCTCCAAGAACGCTCGAGCTCGAATATCATTGGTAAAAACTAATGCCGGGGAATTAGAGGAAAAATCAATATTACATATTGGACAACGAGAATGTGATTTAGATAGATGATAGAACGGTACAAAAACGTGAGAAGGTACTGATGACGATGTCGAAACTGTAGTCAGTGCAGTATCAGAAGCTGTCATGGTAGCAGTAGTTGGAGAGTCAACGATCATATTAATTGAATCAGAGCGAGCGACGAATGTCACATTGAAGTCTTCCGTTTGTGATGACGTATTGATAAAAGTCTTACGCGTGTCTCCCAAATCTGCATCCATTGACTCTTCTGTCGTGTTACCAGACGGTGCTCGCATCTGCCGACTATAATACTGATAGCACGTATTGCATAAAGGAACATCCAACTGTGAAACATCTATCAACTTGTTGACATCAATGAGTCCACTTGAAAATACGAATTCACATAATTGTTTTGATCTTTGCAAAGGTCTTATCGTTTCATTCAATCGAAAAGTATGATCACACCGTTTACACTTGATTCTATTGCCAGTGGTGGACATTTTAGCTCTCACTCTATAGAGAAAGTTAACATACTAAACGAATACGTTATAAACCATAATACACATTTTTCTCCACTTCATTTTTCTTCTGCTATCAAGTATGTGTAATAATTCTTTTCAAAATACATTTTTTTCATTCTTCTCCCCATATATCTTAAAAGACGTCGTGTTTCAAACTT